TGTGTAATTGTGCCATTCTTGCGTGTCGTGTTGAAAGTGACTCTCATGGGCAAGAATGGCACAATTACACCGAAGACAAATACTTTGAGCCCTGCAGATGATCTCAATAAAGATCGAAACGTTGGTACGATAAAAAAAAAATTTATTACATTTATTTGGTATTTACAACTAAAAGTGATGTATTAAGTAAATATGTTCGTATATGTTGAATTATCATTTGAGACTCTTGCAGGAGAAGTTGCCCAGTGGTAACACTCCTTCACACTGATAACTTGTTCAGTCTTCACACAATGAGAAGGTCTCGGGGCAACTATCGCTTCAATCGTCTTGGAGGATTTTCAGGTAGGGTTGGAAGTGATAAATTTCGTACGAATAAATTACTGTATGTGTTCAGTGATTGATGAAATTGTTTATATCGGGTTTTGATCAGTCCATGTACAAACGGGATGTGTAGGTCTTTATGGATGGTGTAATTTGAAACGTAAAAAGGAGCATTTATAATTTGACGGAGAATTTTAGATTGGATTGTTTCCCAGATGCTGGGAATTGGAATCCTTGGTTGAGCCCCACACTTCACAACCGTACGCCCAGAGAGGTCTAATCATTGTCTTGTAAATTAAAAGTTTATTTTCAAGGTCTAATTTTGATGGTGAGTCGAGTAGTCTTTTTAACAACTTATAACGTCGGTTTGTTTGCTGTCTTTTCAGTCTTGTACGGGGATTCCAAGTCAGTCGTTTATCCATGAAAAGTCCAAGATAACGCACAAGGTCAGTGGTAGGCAATGGAGTTCCATTCATACTCACCGCAGGACAGACATTTTTACGTAAGGTAAAATTGATCTATGTGCTTTTTGTTAGGTTTACCTTTATTCTCCACTTTGTGAACCATATTGTTAATTCATTCAGGTGTTGTTGTAAGTGTTGAGTGTTTATTGAGGGGTCCGAATTGCGTGTAAGAATCGCTGTATCATCAGCGAATGTGTGTGTCGAAATGTTAACGTGTGTAGGAATATCTGCAGTGTATATGGAAAATAGAAAAGGGCTAAGTATGCTTCCCTGAGGAACACCCGCACACGATAAAGAAATTTTTCTCTTAAACCTACACCACACCAGACCGCATCTCACGATTTCTGAATAATTATCGAGTAACGGTCACTAATCACCATACATTTTCGTTAATGTTGGCTAATACATTTATTTATAATTCCATTGTAGTTCTTGTATATTGCAGTAATTAAATACGTATTTGAATAAATTGTGATGAGTCGTTATGAAAATATGTTTCTCATCTAGCAGGTAATGCATTAATCCTACGGCTCAGGGGATGTCTAAATAATTGATCGTATCAAACGGATTAAAATCAGAGTTACTAAACTTCTGTTAATCGGCTCTTCTCTCGGCCTTAATCCTGTCCGAGGCGAATGATCAATATTGCATTTGTTCGTTTACAAAAGGGAGTTTAGGCATGCACTTTGACGCGTTAATATGATATCTAATATTTGTTAAAGCAATGATGATTTTAAGACCACAACGGGCCTTTCCAAAAAGAAATATGATGGTTAGAAAAAGTAAGCGTTTTAATGAAAGTAGGGGAGTGAGAGGGAATTAAAAAGAAGAAAAAGATTAAAGATTTCTGATTATTTCAACGTCTATTGATCCTGTTATCCTCAGTCAGTCTGTTCTTGTTCCTTTTTTACCAACTTTTATTTCAATTTGGAAAAAACAATTTTTAACACGTCTAGCCAAAAATACAAAGGTTTTTGGACACATCTAAATAGGCTCACAAGTACAAAATAGCAGAACAGTCTCAAAATATACGACCAGGCGGTTACAATTAACATAAAACGTATGAGCCTCAAGTGATGAAGGTAAATTTTAAGAATAGAAGAAATGAGAATAATTAACATGACAATCGGAAAGTAAAAAAGAAAAGTAATTCAAGAGATAGATAGATAGACGTGCAGACAGATATAAATATAGATAGATAAATGCATAGACATACAACCACATATACGGATAGAAAGATAGATAGAGAATGATTGATTGATTGATTATCGCTTTATTTGACTATCACTCAAGGTTTGGTCTCTAGGACCATTCTTACATTTAAAGTGAAATTACAGCAACATGATTTTATAAACTGTACTCAATCTAATATGCACAACATAGTTGAACAAATTAATTATCTTTTACAAGCTATATACTTGTTTTCAGTGGATTAGCACATTCAAAATAAAAAGTAATTCAATTAATTAATCTTTATATAAGGTACTGGTTGAGATAAAAAAGTCACTGTCACGAGCGGGATTCGAACCTACGACCCTCGACTTTTTAATCATTAGAGTTCGTGGTCCGATTGACCGAATTATGTTTTTCAATTAATTAATCTTTATATAAGTTAATGGTTAAGATAAAAAATTCACTGTCACGAGCGGGATTCGAACCTACGACCCTCGACTAAATACGCCGCTGTTCTACCACTTGAGCTATCGTGACTTCGATCCACTCGGACACTAATTTCCCATCTCAACCCACCTTTCGAAATTTCCCTCCTTTAGGAGTGGATCGAAGTCTCGTTAGCTCAAGTGGTACAGCAGCGGCGTGTTTAGGTCGACGGTTCGAATCCCGCTCGTGACACTGAATTTTTTATCTTAACCATTAACTTATATAAAGATTAATTAATTGAAAAACATAATTCGGTCAATCGGACCACGAACTCTAATGATTAAAAAGTAATCTTTAAATAATACCAAACGTAACTTCTATCAGGAGAAAAAACTAACAATATACATTTGTAAAGGTTTAACATTATAAACTTAAGTGACAGCTGAAAAGATAAATTATCAACATATAAACATGACAATCTTTGTACTTAATTGAGGAAAAAGAGAGAAAATTTTTTATTGATATAAAATATTTTTTTAAAGTTTTTTCTAAACATAATTTTTTTTACAATTCTGACTTTCACCTGGTAATTTTGAAAACACTCTAGCACTTTTAATTGCGAATGCATTTTTAAATATTGCGGTTCTATGTTTTATAATTTGTAATTGCTTAGTTTTATATCTAGTGTTTATATTATAGCTATCAGATCTATATTTTATTTTTTATATATGTAAGTAGGTTTTTCATTTTTAACACACTGAAGATTATAAATCAAACTGACCAGCTTCCATTAAGCAAAGGAATGGGAGTGACCATGGAACTTTACATCACAGGAAGATACGGTATTAACATAATACAAAAAATTACTTTAATAATAAGCCCGGGCAATAATGTGGCATCAGTTCAAAAACAAAACTGACGCAGCTACCTTGCGATTCTCGAAAGAATTAGGGGTCTTAGCGGGTAGTTCTAAGGGTTTTAGGTGGAGAATGGAGTCGCAATGCGTTAAGTTACATGGTGAATTGAAAGAATGAAAAAGCTGATCGATGTGCGAAACAGGTCACCGCAGGTTTAAAGAATATATGTAAGTTCCACGATGGGTTGAGGCTTCGGTAATAAAATGATAATTCGGTAACTCTGAAAAGTGGAAGCAAAAAAAAATTCTTCGGAAGAGTAATAAAAGTGAAGAAATGCACAACTCACACGCATGGAAACACCTTATATTTGAAGTGCTCTTCACGAACGACAAAGATAGAGCTTCATGAGGGCCTGACTTGAAAAAGGAGGAATATGGTAACAAACATGTAGGGAACTGATGACCTCATTAGGGTTAGATTTCGTATTTCTTGGCTCGGTTTATTTCAACCTGATATACGTATAAAAATAACTTATAATCAATACTAGCAGAGGTTAAAAATTAAACCCTTATTCATGGGATTATTATGGAGAGGAAAAATCACTCACTAAAAGTGGAAATATTTTAATATAAATTATAAATCAATTCATTAAGGTTTTTAGTTGAGATAAAAAAGTCAGTGTCACGAGCGGGATTCGAACGCACGATCTTCGGCTAGATACGCTGTAGCTCTACCACTTGAACTATCGTGACTTCGATCCACTCGGACACTAACTTCCCATCTCAACCACACCTTTTGAATTTTCCCTCCTTTTTGCCATTTCTCAAATGTCGTGTAATCTATTTGATTCCCGGCAACGAATCAAATGGCCACGGAGAGCTTTAGTAAAGATATACCTCATTTAACTTATTAAATTCACTAGTTTTCATGGTCCGCTTGACCAATTAATATCTTTTAATTAATTAAGGTTTTTAGTTGAGATAAAAAATCAGTGTCACGAGCGGGATTCGAACCCACGACCTTCGGCTAGATACGCTGCTACTCTACCACTTGAGCTATCGTGGCTGCGATCCACTTGGACTCTAACTTCCCCATCTTAACCCCATCTTTTGAATTTTCCCTCCTTTTTGCCATTTTTCAAAATTCAAAAGGTGGGGTTGAGTGGGAAGTTAGTGTCCGAGTGGATCGAAGTCACGATAGGTCAAGTGTAGAGTAGCGGCGTATCTAGCCGGAGGTCGTGGGTTCGAATCCCGCTAGTGACACTGACTTTTCTAATCTCAATTAATTGAAAAAATTTTATTTAGAAATCGTGAGATGCGATCTGGTGTGATGTGGGTTTCAGAAAAACTTTTGCTTTATCGTGCCAACGTTTCGATCTTTATTGAGATCATCTTCAGGGCTCAAAGTGTTTGTCTTCTGTGTAATTGTGCCATTCTTGCGTGTCGTGTCGAGAGTGGGGCACTCTTACACAGAAGACAAACACTTTGAGCCCTGAAGATGATCTCAATAAAGATCGAAACGTTGGCACGATAAAGAAAATGTTTTTCTGAAACCCACATCACACCAGACCGCATCTCACGATTTCTAAATAAATATCGATTAACGGTCACCACCACACATAATTGAAAGATATTAATTGGTCAAGCGGACCACAAAACTACTGAATTTAATAAATTATCAATTCTTCTATAGTAAATAAGCTGATGAAAAATAGAATGTTTTACAGCGTTCAGAAATAAAAATAATATATTTATTTTACCTTCCGAGTTGGCAAGCTGAATCAAAGCTGCTATCACGCAGTAATACCAGTTCATTTTTCTTCGCCACTGTCACAAAATATCTGAAACCAAAATACAATATAAATTACTAATTGTAAATTGTACCTCGACGTCAGTCTGTAAAACAATTTCATATAATTTCTCAATTAGACGGATAATGTTATTTTATATATTAGGTTAAGAGGTTCCTTTTGTACGTCCAATCTAACGTAACGACACAAAGTCCCTACTATAGGGCTGAAAAGGGAAAAGGAAAAGTGTCAGTGTATAGGGTGTGCGAAGAGTTTCGAGGGGGTCTAGGAGGAAGTGGACAGGCCTTTGTCCAGCAGGAGATTAGAGGAACAAAGAGAAGAGCCAATTGTCGGGAGCTGTGACATGCCTTATCTCACATCGGCCTACCATCAACTAATGGACAAATGTTCCCTCTTTTCGGTCGTTACGTTTGAACATCATCAATCACTAATTAATGCGCTGTTTAACATTTAGCGGACAGAAATAAATAAAATCTTGGTGTCATTTTAATCGTTATTACTGAGCCGTAATAAACGACAATGCAAATGGGGTGAAGTAGATTGACTGAAGTTTGGAATGTTCAAAATGTGCCTGACGGTCCAAAAACAATTTGCAGTCATGGCGTAAACTGCAAAAAAAGTTTTGCCAAATATTAAAAATACATGTCAAAAATTCAGCAGCGAGGTTTAAAACCGGAGAAAGTAGTGGCTAGGAGGAGTAATATCGGTTAAATGAAATGTTTCGGATTCGAATTTTATCCTCCGTATTTATGATCAGTGTAGTTATCGACCAGCCAGTTTGACGAGTTTTCTTGAGGATCAGGATAAAATTAAAAGGTATTGTTATATCTCTGCCAAGTTTTCGACACTACATTCAGTCTTTATCAGGGCTCTACAAAACAATAATATACATATCATTTATCCAAATTTTGGTTTACACCATACAGGTTGTTTGACTCTAGTGTTACAAACTTTGCCTTTAGATTCTACATTCAAAAAGGAACCAAAAAATCCTTATTACTATGGTCCAAATCTCAACAGTTTCGGAGTTATTTCACTTTATCTAAGTTTTTAAGATTTTACGACCTTACTTCAAATAAACCATGATAACTCGAAATTAAAAGGTTTAGGACAAATCCGTTGATACGATTGAAAAGTACGTTAAATTTCCAATAAGATGTGATCGATACTAAACTTGTTGACGTTAGTGAAATAAACGTTTCAGAAACGAGAACTTTGATTTTTTTTTAAAGTTGAAAAACATGCTATTGGCGATTCTCAACTACTATTTTCTAACTACGAGAAATTTCATCCAATTAAGTGAATGTAATTTCATTTTTAATTACTTTTTCAATGGTTAAAAAATTGATGGACGAAAAGAAAAAACCGTGGCTGACAGATTGGTTTTAACAATCAAAATGTTTTTAGTTTTTTCATTTTTTCATTTCAGTTTTTTTTATTTTTATTATTCCTGATTTTTTAACATATCACGTCTTTGCTTCAAATAAACAATAATAACTCCAAAATTAAAAAAAATGGTTTTGAATAAATCTGTTGATACCATTGAAAACTACGTTAACATACATTTATAAGATGTGAACAATACTGAACTTATAAATCTTCATGAAATAAGCGTTTTAGTAACGAGAGCTTTGAATTTTTTTTCCAAGTTGAAAAACAATGATAACTCGAAATTAAAAGGATTAGGACAAATCCGTCGATACGATGAAAATTACGTTAAATTTCCAATAAGATGTGATCGATACTAAACTTGTTGACGTTAGTGAAATAAGCGTTTCAGTAACGAGAACTTTGATTTTTTTTTGGAAAGTTGAAAAACGTACTATTGGCGATTCTAACCTACTATTTTCTAACTATGAGAAATTACATACAATTAAATGAATGTAATTTCATTTTTAATTACTTTTTTCAATGGTTAAGAAATTGATGGACGAAAAGATAAAACCTTGGCTGCCGGATTGGTTTTAAGAATCAAAAGATTTTTAGTTCCTTCATTTTTTCATTTCAATTTTTTAAAATTATTTTTATTTATTATTCCTGATTTTTTAACATATCACGTCCTTGCTTCAAATAAACAATAATAACTCCAAAATTTAAAAAAAAGGTTTTGAACAAATCTGTTGATACCATTGAAAACTACGTTAACATTAAAGATGTGATCAATACTAAACTTATAAATCTTCGTGAAATAAGCGTTTTAGTAACGAGAATTTTGAAAAAAATTTTCAAAGTTAAAAACAATGATACCTCGAAATTAAAAGGTTTAGGACAAATCCGTTGATACGATTGAAAAGTACGTTAAATTTCCAATAAGATGTGATCAATACTAAACTTGTTGACGTTAGTGAAATAAGCGTTTCAGTAACGAGAACTTTGATTTTTTTTTTCAAAGTTGAAAAACATACTATTGGCGATTCTAAACTACTATTTTCTAACTACGAGAAATTACATCCAATTAAATGAATGAAAAAACCGTGGCTGACGGATTGGTTTTAAGAATCAAAACGTTTTTAGTTCCTTCATTTTTTCATTTAAATTTTTTTTTTTTTTAATTTATTATTCCTGATTTTTTAACATATCACGTCCTTGCTTCAAATAAACAATAATAACTCCAAAATTTAAAAAAAGGGTTTGAACAAATCTGTTGATACCATTGAAAACTACGTTAAAAATCCAATAAGATGTGAACAATACTAAACTTATAAATCTTCGTGAAATAAGCGTTTTAGTAACGAGAAATTTGAATTTTTTTTTGCAAATTGAAAAAGATAATATGATGATTCTAAACTACTATTTTCAAACCTAGAGACCAGCAAATTTCAGAAAATGTACCGGTTTTTTGTATTTTCAATTTTGTTTTATCCAATTAACAAGAATATACCGGTTAATTGAATTAAAATTAATAGAATAAGCATACGTTACAAATAAACCTAGTTATTTTTAAACACCTCAAAGGCATCAAAAAAAGTCAGTATGAACTATGCACCGTTTCTCAACCATTTCGCAGAATTCAACATTTTATGTTTTTTCAACTATCTACCGTTTTCGTTGTAAAACTACTCGTAGCTTTTCAACTATTCATTTTTATATAAATCCAATAAAAGCATTGAAAAGTAGGTTGAATTTCCTTTAAGAAGGCACACTTCTAGAACGTTCAATTTAATTGTCAGAAAATTTAATCGAAAAAATCAAACAAAACACATAAAAAAGATACAATAAACATAGTGAACAAGAAAATTGAGTCAATTAATTAAGGTTTTTTTTAAGTTGAGATAAAAAAGTCAGTATCACGAGCGGGATTCGAACCCACGACCTTCGGCTTGATACACCGCTACTCTACCACTTGAGCTATCGTGAATTCGATCCACTCGGACACTAACTTCCCATCTCAACTCCACCTTTTGAATTTTCCCTCCTTTTGGCCATTTTTAAAATGTGTAATCGGATTGGATTCTCGGCGACAAATGAAATGGCCACGGAGAGCTTTAGTGAAGTATTTTTCATTTTAATTCATTAAATTCACTATTTTTTCATAGTCCTCTTGACCAGTTAATAACATTCAATCAATTAAAGTTTTAAGTTGAGATAAAAAAGTCAGTCACTTAATTAATTGAATTATCGGGTTGTCCGGAAAATAATGCAGGATTTTAAGTTTTCATTAAAAAAAATCTATATAAAATATTCTGTTTACGTTTACAGGATTACTCNATGGGAAATTATTTTGATTAAAGAACATTGCTTTAAAGTAACTAGTTTCTTTTTTTTTGTTTAATACCAAAATCCTGCATTATTTTCCGGACAACCCAATATATTAATTGGTCAAGCGGACCACGAAAAATTTAAGTTGAAATTTTCGTGTTTTTTTGTACTTTTAAAATGGTTCTGAAGTCCAGAATATAAATTATGTAAAAGGGCATGTTTAACAAGGTATAAATTTAAATGTAATACAAAAATATAAGAAATTAAACCCCAGTTAAGTAAGAAAAAAGTCTGTACAATTTCCAAACTGCCGCTTGCAAAACCAAAGGCGAAACGTTTTACAGCGAATTCTGCCGTATCTCGTTTCATTTCTAGAACCGCATTTGTAAATTTAATCTGTTTGCCCCAAGTTCAATGGTAGAGGGGTGGAAGGGAAAAGCTGTGATACGTATGCCAGTTAGCTATACCGAATTAAAACTTTGGCCTGGCGGTAAACTCAGTGCTTCTATTTATCTTATCTCGCGCTTAAATTTCCCTTTTTCGGCCCCATAGACGGATGGACTTGCTGTTTATGAACTGATCTCATTCATAACACGACACCAAACAAACAACAACACCAAGCTTACATTACGTACTAAAAACAAGTGAACACCCTTAATAAATTGAAGCTCGTAAAAACGAAATACATGGAAAGTTGTAATGTATAGTTTTTTTGTAGATTAACATTTTATTGTTTATGAAAAAAGTTAAAATTTATAAACGGCTAATCCCTTGAAAAAACAGCATTGACACAGCCAGTAATTTCAATGTGCAAGGGCTGGCAAATAAGATGGTCTGAGTTTGCACTTACACATATATATACAAGCCCACTAGATATACTTTATCCTATTGTTTATCTTGATTATACTGTCATTCATGATTACGCCTCTGTAATTAACAAATCTGTATATCTAGCATTAAGGGTTAAATCCCCAGGGTGAAAAAGCATTGTATTATATATATTATACATACATATCTTCTACCTTACGATCATTTGTCGGGAAATATGCGGTCGAGTAGAGAACTTAAACGGATAGAACTTCATCGGGAAAAAAGTTGTGATCTCAGATTCTTTGTATTTTCAAAAAAGAAAAAGCAAAGACTGCCTTTTACAGTCTCATCAGCATACACGACAGTTCAAATATTTTGCCAGTTCTGTACTCATTGTAACAACTGAAGAATTGATGACAGGACTTGACAGTAGAATTTTTATAAATATTTACTTAAATTCCCTAATTTCGTGGTCCGCTTGACCAATTAATATATTACAATTAATTAAGGTTTTTTGGTTG